ATTTTATTTTACTCTTCTTTTTTTCCCGTTTCTGTTTGGCGAGTGAGGGGAGAGAGGAGGGGGGAGGGGGTGATTTCGATTTGCTGTAATGTCAAATTTTTAGCTATAATGACTGGAAATTGCATGTTTATTGAATTTTTTATTATTATTTTCTTTCTTTTTTTTCTCTCTAGTTTTTTTTCTTCCTGCCTTGACGGCGACTCTTGGCGGAATTGATATCTTTGGCTTTGTTGTGTGGTGAACGAAGAGGGAGGGGAAGAGGGGAGAAAGCCCTTTTGTTTTTCGAAAAATTTATCCAAAAACCATTGTTGCGGAAGCAGTAAGAAATCTTTTCTTTTCTTCTCTCCTTTCGTCTTTTTTTATCTTCTTTTTGCCCTCTTCTTCTGTTTCTTCTTTGGACACCAGAGGAAAAAGTAAAAAAGATTCGACTTTTTAAGTTTGGTTAAGTTGAATTCAGAAGTTGTAGCATTTTATCCGGTTGGTTGTTGTTCGCAGTATTGATTATAGTGAGCACGATTTTTTTTTGCGCTTCCCCAAAATGAATGAATGCAGTGTGGCATTAGAATAGAGAGAAGGATAAGAGAAGGGTCAAATATTTTCTGCTTTTCACGGAGTAGAAAGCAACATTTTAGTGCTCGGGAAATTTTGAAATACAAGCTCGCTATAAAAATAAATGGATGAAACTGGTGAAAATTGAACATTAAGAATCTGTGAGAACAAGTGAATGCAAAATATATATGTGTATTTGTGTACAGTCGTTGTTCCGCCCACTGAACTAACTGTATGTAATATATATGTGTTTGTGTACTATATGTGTGGCTATCTTTTTTTCAGCATCGGTTAGTCGACAACAAATAATAGAAAGAGTTGAAGCGTGAAGGAGGAAACGCAATCTTTTTTGCGGTGGTATATACTTACTGCTTGTGTTTAAAAAAAAGAAAAATATAAAAAGAAAAAGAGAAGAAGAAAAAAGCAGGTGGAACCTACGAGAGGAGAAGTGGAAGAAGAAGAAACTGTACATTTGTATTCTCCGGAAAAACAGTATCTCTGATCCAGAACGTTGATGAAAAAAAATTTTTTTTTCATTTCAACATATCTATAAATTTATTTGGGCTGTAAAATTTGGTCAATTAGAATCGCAAACAACTAACAGTTTACCAGCATTCGGACACTGAATCTGTACTGTGGAACGCAGAAGTTCTAGTAACCTGCAGCGTAAATTCGCGGCAAGGGACTAAGATTTCTGAAACGGTAATATAGAACCCGAACAAAGGACTTCGGGTTTTCTGTGTTTTGCTGTTCAACTGGTAATCTTCGTCCGTCATTAGTAATCATTCAGCTGTATTTCGAGAAGGTAATTTTCTTCTTCTACTAATCAGTAGCTTTTGGGACAGTTTTTCCGGCTCGTTAAACTGTATTGTTGATTAGAAATATCTCTGACATTGTCGCTACAGTATCTTTTGTTAATGATTGACTTGTTTGATTTTGTGTAAATAAGTGTATTGAGAGTCGTTTTTTCTTCATTTTTGAAGTACATATCAATTTCTAAAAAAAGCTACAGTATATAAATTCCCTTTGTACATGTAATTGACAAAAAATTTTACAGTTGATTGAGCAACCTAAAATACGGGTTTAGGCCCCGTAAAAATTTGCCGAAACAGCACAACAATAACCTCAGTGTTATGGTAAGTCTTAAACAGCTTTTGCAATTATTAAAAACTTTAGTTTTGATCAGCAGTAAAAAAATTCTCAGAATCTAGTTTATCCTTCTTTTCCTGTTCGGAAATACGCCTGTTTGAAAGCCTTTTTGACAATTCTTTTCTTTTATATCTTTTCACTAAACTGTGTTTTCATGATAATACTGAAGGCGTAGTTGGACTTCTAACGGTGTTCAAATTGTGTTTCTGAAACGGTATCGCAGGATTCATAATTTAGAAGCTTGAGAAATATGCCCCAAAGTAAGTAGTAGGGTATTTTCATTTGTTCAGCTTCTGAATAACAATCGTCAAATTAATGATGTTAGCAGTTGCTTAAAGTGCAAAAAATTCTCGGATTTTAAAGATATTTGCACCAATAATTAGCGGCGCTTTTATGTTTATAATGAACAAAAAATTAAATGTAATTACATATGGATTTTTTCAATGTTGTCATTAACTTAGAAAAAATTTTTTGTGTTTTTTTTTTTTTTTGGTACAAAAATTTTCTGCTTTTGATTGTTACTGCTGGGAGGTAAAATGACTGATACTGCTATCTAATATATTGGTGTTGATATGAAATAACTTTTCAAAACTGCAAGTTTTGACGTTGGAAAATTGAAGTTCTCATGATCTTTTTTTTTTTGGCAGTAATTAAGAAAGTGAACAAAAATTTGTTAGTAAAAAAGTGCTGTAAACAGTGAATAGGATTTATGGCATTAATTGTACAACAAGTAATTTGATCAGATGAAACTGCTATATGCGTTCTGTTGCCTACAAAAGATGTTGCTTCAAGACAGTTTGACAGACGGCATTCTAGAAATAGAATTATCGAACTGTCGAAAGTAACTGTATTTCTTTTTTTCAGTTAACCTCAAAGGTGTAATCGCAAGTGCTGAAAAACCTACCGAAGATGTTAAAAGGTAGGCAATTTTTTCTTTTTTTTCTTTTCTTCTAAGTGGTTAACAATTGAGAGTTTTTTTTTATTTTTAGTTTGTTGCAGAATAATATAATTAATTTAATGTTTATACTGATACTTTATATCCAGACTTTAGAAGCTTTTATTGAACTACTGGGAAAGCAAATCGTCGTTGTTTCTGTAATATTTTAGGTTGTTTTTTTTTAACTTTCTCATTCCGAATTCAACACTGTGCACAAACTTATAGGAAGAAGCGGGAGAAAAACAGTTATTATTTAAGTTAATGAAGGCAGAATAAAATTAGACTGGTTGAAAAAACCGGTGTCGAGAGACGGTGAAAAGGAAATGTTTGTTGTACGGTAAAGTTTTATGACGATAAAACTTTATTCCTGTTACAGTGAATGGAAACCACCGTATCCGCTGCTTTCTGCTCACCACGACTGTGTGAGCTTGGCATCTGCCTGGGGTTTAGGAAGGCAAACGAAAGCGGAACTGGACTTCTATATTTCAGCGGATGCCGAAATCAAACAGCTTAGAGCAACCAGGAAACGTACGGCAGATGGGAAAAGTAACAAAATGGTCGTTTCCTGTCCTGGTTTCAGGTAATTATTTGCAAAAAACATATTTGCTTCTAAGATATGTATTACTTTGAGTTAATAAGGTTGAAAATTTTTTATTCTGAAGTTTTCTAAACTTGTTTTCAATTTCTGTTAATTAGGTATTTCAAAATCTCTTTTACTATATTAAAGAAAACCATTTTTTGATAGTGTCATTTTAGAAGTTTAGTGGACATTGTTCAATGTTCAGTTCGTAATTGGTGCTGAATTGGTTGGCAGTAGTAAATGGCATCTTTACTGTTATTAATCCTTTGTTTCAAATTTTTATGTCTTATTTTTAGTGCTTCTCTTCCTACTTGAAAATGTTTAGTTGAAAGAGACTTTTATAGAAATGTTTGACTGACTGAACGTGTTTATACTTTTTTAACTCACTGCTTATACTAAATTTCTAGTTTCTTTTTAGAATGATTTATAAAATTGTTACTGTTACTGTTTGGGTGGTTAAAAAATGAGCGCAACTTACGCTGAAACTTACAATAGACTATGCTGTTATTGAAGCGGATAAAAGTTTAGGCTTTAATCAGTAGCTCTTCTATAAAGTTTCTGGCAAGTCCAAGCTTTTCAAGTGACGTAAAAATTCGAGATTAGTCATGTCATTTCTAAGGTATTTTTGCTGTGCCAAATGTGTTTAAAGTTGCTGCTTGATTTTTCACAATCGTTTTGGTAAGGTGATCATAACTGTTTTCTGCAAAACAGAAAGCTATTTTTGTGAAAATTTGAAATAAGAGTTTTGTTTTATATTTTGGTGGCAAAAGTAGATTTTTTAAAAGAACAAAAACTGGAAAAGATGTGTTTATTTTTGACAACCACCTGTAAGTTCAGTTATTAGAATTGTAGAAGAAGCTTGAGAACTAACAAGTATTTTTGCATTTAGAATTAATCTACTGTTTTTGATTAGGTGCTGAGGAGAATAAATGCTACTTCTGCTATTGATCACTGGTTCGATGTGAAAAACTGAACTATCTTTAGACGACTGTGAAAAATTCTATCAGAATAAAGTGATCTAGAAATTTTTCTAAGATATCAAAGGTTTTTTCATACAAAAATACATGCAACTCTTTTTTTTGAATACAATAGTTGCTGTTAGTCAGTGCTTTTAATAGCCGGTTATTTTGATAAAAATTATTAAATACATAAACTTGCAAAACATGTTATCTTGAAAGCTGTAGTTGCAAACAGCATTTTAATTGATATAATTGTTATATTTTCTTGCTAAGCTTACTGCTGTTTAATAAATTTCTAATATTTCAGAGCATACTTTTTCTGAAGCAGATTTAAATGAAAAGATCAATTCAAATTTTTTATTTGTATTTTGATAAACTGTTTATTTTGCCCTCTTTCATTTCGCTTTTGTAACCATCTTCTGTCTATCTGTTGATCGACTGGTTGAATTATGAATTTTTGTTACACTTACAGTCTCTTTTCCTGTACCATTACATGTTATT